TAAAAGAATAATATTTTACATATGTACATTTTTGACCAGTGTCAACTATTTAAGTGTATACTTTAAAGTTTATATTTACTCTTATTATTGGTTAGTTATCTGACATTTAAATTTTGTATTAAGCTACGTGTCAACCAATTGTGCCAAATTGAAGAAGTCGTTGGCTTATATGAACTAACCAATCTGAAGCAACTTTGAAGCCAGCCAATCAGTTATATTCCACGTGGCAAATACTTTCAAGCCACATATGTAACATGTTAACTATGGTGGATCTCATTTCCTACATACAATTCCTATTTCAAATTATTGAAGTATATTTTCTTGCTAATTAAAAATCGTTAAATCCTAACACTCATAATTTAAATATTGTGAAAAATCTGTTTTTCCTTGCATCTGGGTTAAAATCATCGGATTATTTTAAATAGTCTAAATGTGAAAAGGCGACTGAAAGGAGGAGAACTCTTTTCAACTTTCAAAAATCCTTCTCCCTACCCAGGAGTATGGAACCAGTTCTTTTTCCACTTATTTATTCAAGATCAGCTCAAATGTTACCCAAACAAACCTCTGCCACAACTTATGTCAGCTTCTCAGAGGAACGATCGAATGGCCACTTGGCAGCTTCTGAGAAAGCTAAGCGAGTTTCGATACCAGTAAGTAATCTGAAGCTTGCACACAATCGTCTTGATTCGGGGGCCGCTAATGAAGCTCTGGCAGAGGCAGTGCTTGCGGCAGCTTGCAAACCCCCGCCTAGCTTGCCCTCATTAACAGAAGACGAGGCGGAAGAGGTGATAATGGCTAGCGCCAATGGCACTGGAGTTCGACTTGGTTTATTTATCACTGAGACTCTAGCTACTCGATATAAAGGGCGTGCTGGTGCTGGTCCATTATCAGTTGGAATTCCAAACATGGAAAGTGCTGTCTTACAATATACAGCATCTACATCTCCGGTATTGAAGAACAAAGTTCATTCTGGCCGAGAGTCGAACTTACAGCTTAATTTTAATAAACCAGACAGAGCAGAAAAGGTGGAAAGCTCTCAAAAGGTGGAATGTAGCCAGTATGGCGCAAGGATGGAGTTCTCTTCGCCAGGAAATAAAAACATCCTTCTTGACTCAATGAGCCCTGAGGAGCGTATGCAGAAGCGCCGCGATCAGCTCCGTCGAAGTACTAATGCAACCGCAGCAGCGGCACATGCCAGCGCAGGCGGGATGGGTGAGCATGATGGTTCCGGAGGAAAAGTTGGGGCTGAAGGTGTGGTTACACCACGGTTAGCACCTCCACCTCCGGTTAAACAAGCTAATTTAGCTCAAAACATTGTACATTCAGACGAGATTTGGTTTATAGAGCGGATAATGAGAGCATTGACGCTGATACTTGTTCTATTCACACTACCCTTATCGCTTATTTTCTGCCTTAAGGTAAGAATAAAAACTTAATTTATTTGATATGATGCATTGCCTAATACATCCTTTACTTTATATTTATTAACGCTTGAGAATTAGCTTGAGAAGAAAAAGAGATTGATTCTGGAATACTCTAAGACTATAGAGCTTAACCCAACTCTTCTAGTACTAATGATACAAAATATTGTGATAGTTCTTAATTCAAGATATTATTCAGGTTGTTTGACCTTGTTTTCGCAACATGGTTATATTGGTAGGAAGACTTATTAGAACACACCTAGTCCGGAGTCCATTTTCTGCATGATCATTTCCAAAGTTGAACCGTAGAGGTGGTACATTCCCAAACGTTTGGCCGGCATCGTAGTCGGCATCGTCACATCGTGCAATTGACCTATTTCAATCCAGAACATATGCGCGCCCTCCTTCTCTCTATCTTTTTTATAATTATGTGCATCCAATAGTAAAGTTTGTATTGGTCTTTATTTTATATGAATACGGTAATGGTTTTAGGTAATTCGAGCAATTTGGAAAGTATATTTTAACTAGTATTCAACATGAAATTAGTAAGGAAAACCTAGAGGAACGCGCCATGCCCAGGTCCATTGTCTGCATGATAATTTCCTGAGTCGGACTGTACATGGTACATTCAAAACGTTTCGCCGGCATCTTCAGAGAGCCTTGTCATTCTTAGCACCTAAGTAACTTGTCAAAAAGACACGTAAAATCTTGTTTCTTTGACGAGTGGCAGTATAGTGCTAAGCAAGGTAAGGCTCACTGACAATGTCCGCTATGAGGCCGGCGAAACGTTTAGGAATGTACAAAGTCCACGTTTCGAGTCTGGAGATTTTCAAGCATACTATGGATCCGGACAATATTCGTTCCTCTATCTTTTTTCGTTAATATGACCAATTTGCTAAAGCAAGTTCAAACAACTTTCATACAACGAAAGGAGACAGTGACTATACAAAAGGCCACACTATCTTGGTCATCATACCTTCGAATAAATCAGTAAGCTCAAACCTACAAAACTAACTATTAAATCGAAAGTCTTTTGAATTAAATTCAGACTTTGGTGGGAAAATACCTTTAAAAAGTATTTATACCATAATATTCTTCAGATCTCTTAACTTATATAGGATAGAAATCTATATAATTCAGCATAAATTATTAAGATATTTTTCTTATACATGCAAATGGCTATTGGTTATCATCCCTATAACAGAAGCATTTTCACATCGTTTATCTTCAAAATTTTTTATAAGAAATGAGGATCTCTATGGATGATTAATCCGAATATAAGAATTCTAGTTAATTTCTGAAAATTACTTGTGTAGGATAGCTCACAATTCCAGTGAGTTTTCTTAAGCCTTGTCTCTTTAAATGCTTTCGCATCTAGAGACATTCACCGTTTTTATTCTACCTTGATCGCATTCGCGCTTTAACGAAATTGGGATACAGATTGTGCACAGAACTTGCTGACATTTCCTCTTGGCTACACAAAAAAGGCTGAATGTTGTTCACATAGCAGTAATGGCTTTCAAATAAGGTCATATCTCAAAGAATCAATGAGTCATAAAGCATTTAAACTGTAATTTACTTTAAATGTTAAAGAGTTTTTGTAGGCAAGGCTTAATGAACCTCA